CGGCCAACCTCCCCCAGTTTATATACTGAGCATGACGTCATGTAGTATGAAATAGCCCTTTGGTCAGTTTGGATCAACTATTCTGGCTGTGCCCCCTCCCAGCTTCTTGTGCACCTGGCAGAGCCTGGGAAGCTGAAACGTCCTTGACTAGCATAAGCAGTACTTAGCAACAACTAAAAACATCAGCGTGTTATCAACATTCTTCTCCTACTAAATCCAAAACACAGCACTGTGCCTGCTACTAGGAAGAAAATTAACTCTATCCCAGCTGAAACCAGGACACTTAGTCTGCCCTCAGCCAGTGCAGATGGAGCTTCCCTTGGCTGCAGCCCCATTTAGCATCAGAGTCACATCACGAAGCCGTAGGTGTTGGTCAGGCTCCCTTGTCAGTCAGCAGAGAGTCGTCTTCCCCTTCCCCCAGCCTCCGATAACAGCAATCGGTTTTGGCATGCCTCTCTCTGCTGGGAATAGCAGGTGCCTCCTTTCAGCCACCTGCCTTCAGCAGAGGTGAGTGGAGCTGTGCGGGATGCAGTTCCTGCCCGGGGAAGCCAGGCGTTCAGCAGACATGGGCAGTCTCAGGCCAGCCAGGTCCTGAGCCCAGTCTCCTCTGGGAGCTTGGACATCCAGGAGCTCTTGGGAAACACTTAGTTCATGAGCCTGGGACCCAGCTCATAACTGCAGAATTAGACACTAAAGCTGTGCCATGAACTTAGCAGATCTTGTCAAACTGGATGGCCTTGTCCTAGGAGTCTTTAGATCCCCTGTAGTCATCCCCCTGTGGCCCAACCTATACAGACCTCAGTCTGAGCCTCTGCGTTTGGTTTGGCTGCATGTGATGCTGAGCAGCAAGAACTCTAGAAATACTTGGGACTGACCAGCAGATGCCGTTGGGTGTTTCACTCCCAGTTCCTAGACATTTTCTGTTTTCTGACGCTCTCCCTGTTTTCCCTCCCAAAGCCTTCAGCACCCCCAAGGTCCATGTAGAGAACAGCAGCAGCGGGGACACGTTGCAGTGCGAAGCACCACGCTGGTTCCCTCGACCCGCCGTGCGCTGGACAGCCTACAGCGACGCCGGCGGGTACCTGCCTCGCGTTGCCAACACCAGCTACGAGCTGAATGCTGAAAATATCACTCTGAAAGTGATTTCATTTCTGCGCAACATTACTGCTAACGCCACCTATACCTGCGTGATTGAAAACAACATTGCTAAGGCTACAGGCAACATCAAAGTGACAGGTATAGTTTAACACCACCCAGAGACCACAGGCATGGGGGAGAAGAGTTTAAACAGTGCACCTGTGTGCATCGGGGGGCTCCTGCAGCACCCGTGTCAGTCAAGGAAGGAACTGAAATCTGTGGCTAGTCCAAGCACCTCTCTCTCTGTCCCTGGGATGAAGGAAAGGGTCTGTGTTTCGTCCCACTATTTCAGATGTTTTCCATGGTAATGATTGCTCCCTTGGCACAGGGACAGAACTGCCAGGGAACAGGAAGGAAGGAAAAGACACACTTCAAAAGAATGCATTCCTTTGACTGTTAACCAAAAATGAACGAACCAACCAAAACCCTCAACTTTTGACACTTTCTTTAGAACCATTTTGTGTACCAAACCAGCAGGCCCCTTTAGCTGTTACTAATGACAATCTCTCTGACACCAGCCCATCCCCATTATTTAAAAGGCCACCTTATCCACGGGAAAGAAAACTTTCCAAAAAGCTTGGATATCTTTTCCTGTTCTACGTGAGAAGGGTCTTCTACAGCAAGGGCTTTGTAGCAGTGGGTCTCCAGCACAAGAGGCAGAGTTTATCTTCATCAATATTTAGAAAAATAGGGAGGAATAAATATACACACTCATTTTGCCTTCCCTGCTGGTAGCCTCTCACTATTCTTCTGCTACAGATTTCAGCATTACAAGGGGGACCAACTTGCAGCTTGTGAACCTGAACGCAGAGTCAGTGTCCTCCTCTCTTCCAGCCTATCACTGGATGCTTCTGCTTCTCCTGTATCTGCTGTTGATATAAAGCCTCTATAAAACAATCAGAAACCCTGCTGGACCTGGAGGTAAGCTTGGAAAGGGAAACTCATTAGCATATATGCTCAGTATATGGAGACCCTCTTTCTGGGTTTTGTTACAGCAGCAGACCTATCTCAAGCCTGCCAGAATGGGAGGATGTGTCTTTGCCCTGTGACCGTCTTTTCCCCACCCCAGCTTTAGGTGGGACACATGGATTGTCCCTCCCATAGGCTCCCTGCTGGATTCTCCCATCACTTTCTGCAACTTTAGAGATTCTTCTCTTACACTGGTGACCGTCATCTCTTACTCGTCCCCTCATTCTCTTTTCCTTCCCTCTTCAACCTTCTCTCTGATCCAAAAGACAGAGGTCTTGCTTGCTGCTCTGTGCACTCGCTGAACCCTGGCTACAGTTCATGGCCGCAAGGCAGTGTGGACTTCTTCCTCTCCTTCCCCATGAGGCCTAGCTGCAGGACAAGCCCTGCTTTGCTCAGACAACTCCCCTGCACAGTGCAGCACCTTCAGTAAATAGCACCTAGTAGGGATACCTTGCAGAGGGCTAGAGGGAGCTGCCAGCCTGAGCAATCCCACCTAGAACTGCAGTAAGGAGGGCTGTAGACAGTCAAAGCAGAGGAGAACTGCATCAGCTTTGGGTGGTAGGCTCTGGAGGTAAACTGGCGATGGAGAGCTACAGAAAATCAGCTAAAAGGAACATCTCTCTCTTTCCGTGCAGAACAGTTACACAGCTACCCTGAATGCAGGACATGCTTCATGCTTTCCTTCCTCTTGGGCTGAGAACTTTAAGAGCTCCTCCCTGTCCCAGAGCATGTAGCAGCATGACATGAAGCCAGCTGATTTCACTCTTGTATTATTATTTCTTACCCACGCCAAAACCAGGATACTTTGTTTGGCTTCAGAAAGAGTGAGGAACATGATAAGGAGAGTTGCATAAATAAAGGAAAAACTCTGATCACAGCAATGAGATGCGTTCTCTTCTCTGAAGTAACCTGGTGACTAGAACTCTAATCATGGGCAGGAGCTGAGAGACAAACAGGAAAAGGGTTTCCTGCAATACATTCGAGAACTGGTCCTTCAAACTCAGAGTACTAAAAGCAAGCAAATCTTAATTCCCCCCAAACAGATCTGATTCATCCATCTCATGCCTTGTGATTCTCTGAAGGTACTAATAAAACTGTGAATAAGAGAGCCAGTTCATCTGTTCAGTCTTCTCAGAAGACTGTAATCAAACCCCCCTTCTGAAAAAGATGTTGTGAACGGCAAAACATTGATGGATTAGAAAATAGCCAACAGGCTTGGTATAAGTGTTAGGTCTTCAACCTGGCAAAGGCAAACAGCCTATATGAGGACTGATGATTGCATTTGTAATGTGAAATAAAAGATGAACATGTGAGTTGTAAGTGTAGCAGCAGACAGAAGAATAACATGCATAATGAGGAGGAAAAGAGGGAGCCTAGTAAGATACTACTGGAAAGTTCAAATTCAGAAGTAAAACCAATTATTAAATATAGTTACAACTATAGAGACAAATTTGCTTTTTTGTTTTCAAATAAGTCTCTTATCTGGCACTTCCTATCTATTTCTGTAGCACTGTCTGGTACTATGTTATTCATATTCACAGGACTACTTTCAGTTGCACTTTTAAATCAGATTTTGATCTCTTAATTTACATCACTTACAGTCAACATTTTCCTCAGGCTGAGAGGGGGGATTTTTTGTTTGCTGTTTTCTGGTTTTGTTTTCTTTGGGCAAGGTGGGGGGCAAGCTTCAGCAAAAATGTTACCATGTCACAGAAAGCACCTACAGAAAAAAAGACCGTCACAGCAAAACTTGTGTAGACCTTTGCTTTAAGCTGTTTTGGCAACCTTCTTAAGGATGGAGTCTCAGAACGCTGTTGAATGGTGCCATCTGTCAGTCTCGTGCCACTCATGCTTTGGTCTTAGAAGTGGCCAGCACGCCTTGAGATGGAAGAGATTTTACACATGCTCGATAAACCCACCGCCTGACGTTGAATATAAGGATCAAACTAAGGGTGAAAGGGAAAAAGCAGGGGGAAACACTAAACAAAACAAAACCCAAAACAGAGTAGCTGTTCAAATACACTGTCTGCACACAGAATACGGCGGGGAAGTAACTGCGTGTGGAATTTACTAACCTATAGCACAAGTCGAAGGATTTGGATGTTATTTTGCCAAAAGCAAGTGCAGAACACTTGGTCATCACTGCAAGCAGATGGCAGAGGAATCTCTTCAAATGGTGATCTCCCATGTGTTGTATTGGTTAGCCTGCTGGGCCACCATGGATACTGGCACGTGCCGTTGCAGTCATCCCCTTCCCCATCAGGAACGGATTGGCAAGCCTGTAGCACGTTGTGAGTTTGTATCACAGCTCACTGCCTTCCTCTTGTTACCAGCCCCACGTAGTGTTCAGGGCATTGTTTACGCTGCAAAACAATGCCCATATAGTCCTGTGATGTAGTGCCATGATTTAGTTTCCAAACAGTAACTTTTTCACTTCCCTTCTCTTCTTGGAAGAAGGAAATGCTTTAAAAACATCATTTTAATAATTTCAGTTGGGTTAAGATGACCATCCCTTGTGGCAACTGTACAGTTTTGCATGAAGACAGTGAATGATCTGCAAAATGCTTGGCTCTGGCTCATAAACCCAAGGTCTACATTTTGCCTCATTCCCCATATAGCAAAATAGATACAGTGTTATTTAAATTGTGTTTTAATAGTTTTATTTAGTAGATACTACCACATAAAATACACACATTGTGTGCCCTAGGGCCAAAGCAACTGCTATCATGTAGGAAGTACTGAACATCTCTCTTCCAAAACATAGCCCGGCATCGCTGCTGGCTATGGTCCAGAATGACCATTCAGGAATTCCACAAGTCACAGCAGCTTCTTGATTGCACCCTTCACCCTGTGCTCACAGGCCTGTGCTCTCACTGGGAAGGGGATTAAAAAAAGCTCCCAATCCCAGTAGGTATCTCCATAATTCCTCTCCCACTGGGAGGCATGTTAAGCAGTGGCTCCCACTCAGCAGTGACTAGATGTCCTCCTGATCCTCTCGCTGTTCAGATAGCTTAAGGCTTCTTGTTCCACTTCCTCCACATTCAGGCACAGCAGGCTTGGCCGAGGTCCCACTTGTGACACAAACTCTACTTCACCACACCGAAAATTTCTCAGCTGCAGTGGAGCTGAAGGGGAAAGATACAACCTGTAACAACTCAGTACAGGGCTCCTGCTCTGTTCTAGCACACAGCTGTAGAAGTTGCTGGGGGAGGGAAGGCCCTGAAACAGCTGCTTGGCATCTGCTAAACCTCAAAGGACAGCACGATTAATGAATCCCGGATGTAAGCAGATGAATGCGTTTGGCCAGCATCCCTCCAACTTGGAGGAAACAGACATTTTGCACTGTGAAACGCTGTGAACTATGTGCTGCTCACACAACCGATGCACAGGACTTTGTATGTTTTCTTGCTGTCAGCAACCTGGCCTTACAGACAGTGTTCTGTGATAGTCAAAAGATAACGTCTCCACAGCAGAGCATCCTCTGGTGAGCTTAGCAAATCACCCCCTGCAGCACCTGGACTCATACTCAAGTGGTAGCATTAGCGCAAGCAGCTAAGAAGAATGTCCCCTTAATGCAGCAACTGCACAGTTGTGGCAGCATGAGCTCAGACATCAGCACCCATGAATTCAAAACTCTTCAGCACTTTAAATTCTGTGGCCAGGGTGAGGATTTCCAGGCCTAGTCTTGAGTCTACCTGCTGTCCTGTCTAAAGTCAAAACCCCCTTGGATTTGACAGGTCTGTGCAGTAACTGGCTGGCCAGAACCCTGTCCCATCCAAGGACTGGGAACCTTGCTCTAAAACAGAGGAAGCTTTGTGTATAAGAGGCACCCCACAGAAATAAACCTCTACCTTGGTATCGGGAGATGGGAGGGCAAAAGGGGGACACTAACAAAACATGTTCTCTCCCACCACCACTACCACACACACATGCACAACCCCCACTCCCCACTTACTGACACCTTAGGACAATTACTATCCTGGTTGTTTAGCTCCTGGAACTGTATATAAAATTTGAACAGAGAAGCTCCAAGTTGTTCACCACAACTACAAGGAGAATTCAATACTATTTTTATGCTCCTGTGTAAAGTAGAAAAATTCAGATATGATATTGTTGTATATAGTGACTTTTATAATACTGC